CACAGATGAGTGGTTTTTAGGTGATGTTAATGTGCATTATTAATGTGCATTCAACTAAATCTACTGCACATTAGCACTGGTTTTGCCTGGCATGCTGAGGCACAGCAGAATTAGTCTTCTGCTCATTGTCTCATGTAGATGCACCCACTGACAGTCATCTTGCTATCAAGTATTTGAAAGTTTCCATACGGGGCTTGAGCATGCTTGGGGATATCTTACTGCAGACCAGACCCACGGTATTGAGGATTCTGCACAGAAAAAAGTCATCATCATTTCTATAATTTTTCTTTCTGCCTTTCCATAGACTGACTCAGGTTCAACCAACACCAGAACGCTGCTCACTGAACACTACAAAGCTGCATGTCAGCGCAGGCACCGTTTTAATACAGACGTGCAGTTCCCATAGACCACCGGTCTCAATGTGTCATGTTCTGTTTCCTTTTTATGAAATCTTCTTATATCAAGATGGAGCATCAGATGCTGGGGCTCTCTCTGTTGACTGCGCTTCCGTAATAAGGACAAGGGCAGCAGCTCTGTTTCTGAATGTTGGATAAATGTAATTTCCAAAGCTGGTACCAAACTGACACAGCCTCTCCCCTGACCCCTCCCACAAATTATAGACTAAAATATTAGCCACAGCCCTTCTTCTGTCCTATGCATTGTTGCTGTCCTATTTGCGCCATATAACCGTGTGTCCCATGGCTCTTTCCAAGCCAGCCCTCAAAGACATCCTCCTTGAAAGGCTTGCAACCCTGGGACAGAAGCATACTTGACAAAGGCACTTGATACAGCCACCTCGCCATCAGCCTCCTCCATGCAAGTTTGATGGTAAGACGGACTGGCATGAGCTTTCTAATACTGCTGGTCTGTGTCAATGAAGTCTTTATTTAGTTAACATACGGACTCCCTTGAATTCAGAGCTGTCTCCTGGAATCTTTCTACAGCTTCTTTCCGATTTAGCCAAGATTTCTCATTGATTTTCCATCATGGCTTATACCTACCCATTACTTTAAGGACTGTCGTGGGTGGGACCTTGGGTGTCAGACCTTATGGCGAGCTAGGTAAACATTCTCTATGAATGTTCATAACGTCATACATTAAAAAGCACCTGGGAGATCACTTCAGAAGGATCTTTTAAAAAAAACATAAAATTACCTTACATTACAGGTAAGGCTATCATTTTGTCAGTCGCTGAAATCCTGGAAACCACGCAACACTAATCAGGGGTGGGCAAAATGCGGCCTGCAGGCCAGATGCAGCCCGCCAGGTCATTCTATCCGGCCCGTGGAGCCCCTAAAAAACGTTGAAAATTAATATTTATCTGCCCCTGGCTGCCTGTCATGTGGCCCTTGATGGCTTACCAAAACTCAGTAAGTGGCCCTCCACCCAAAATAACTGCCCGCCCCGACTAAGATTCTCATGATGCCCCATGAGGCAGAGGGAAGTAAACACAGCATCAAAGTAGATATAGCTCAGCCAGAGAAATTGGTCTCTAGAAAAGACAGAGACACAAGTCCTCCAAACTACAACCCCCACAAGGCTGTATGCGCTAGTACAGAACTGCACATGGGGAGGGTAGTGGATAGCTGTTGGAAGCATGCTGCAAGCACAGGTCATAACTTTTCCAGGAATATTGCTCCCCTCCCACACACACACTTCGGCAGGGACATGTATTAATGATTACCATTACAAAACGCTAGCCTTAATTATGGGTATTTACTGCATACAATGGAAGAACTGTTTGCATAAAAACAAAATTATGCCATGTGCTCTCCCATCAGCGGGGTCCTGGGTCTACAATCCACCGATAAGACTGGTGCGTAAGGAAAACACAGAACACAGTATAAAGAGTTTTTGGCACATCAGATAGCATTTTCCTCCTTTAATTCTGGTTTAGTTGTGTTACAGTAAAAGGAAGGTAATTTGAGAGTTGCTATTATCCTGTAGGGACAGGACTATCTGGCTCACTTACATATGCAGGGTATAACAGTGTACTTGTGCTGTGTGCATTTTGGCATGCTAATCAATGTATAACTAAGTGCAATCTCTTGCAATGCTTTTACATTTAAAGTCATAAGATGCCTGGGTTTTATGCTTCAGGGAGTTTACAGTGCCCTGGAGATCCATTTGCAAAGGGGGCCTTGATGTAGAGAGGGAAGCAGCCTCCTGGACTGCATCACCCATACTGACCCAGGAGTTTCTCTGGGGAGTCTGGGATTCATATGTGGGAAAGGATGTGCTGGGGGGTAGAGCGGGGTAGGAGGCTCCTCATCCCCCATCACCATCATTCTCGACCAAGACCCTCCAGAAAAGCTGATCGAGAATGAAACTTCAGCCTCTTCCAAGCAGGGGAAACTCCTTTTGAAGCCAGCAGGGCAGGGCAGAAGAAAACTTAGCAGCTTGACTTCAGCTGAGCATAGCAAGGTCAAGAACCAGCCCAGAGGCTGAGGGTCACAGCTAGGAGGGTCCAACCTCAGTAGGTTCCCCAAGATCCACATAGATGCCTATCCGGGGGATGTGTCCCCTCCCTGAAAGGGCTAGGAGGAGAGAGGACCGCACGTTTCCTCCCAACCCTTGGGTCCCCTTCCACAAAGCTTCCAGGGTGAGAAATGAGATGACACCAAGTTAAGCTCCACGCTACTTCAGTCAACTGGCAACTCTGCTTGTAGCATGGCACATAAAGCATTTTCCAACTTACTTTCAATCTTGATCCAAATTATCTTGAATGGGTTGATCTTCACAGCGTCATTTAAGAGCTCCTTTATTTGATAGGGCTGTGGGAAGAGCTACAGGCCTGGAATGAGTGGTACATTAAGGGGCAGTAACTGGAAGGTTGGTACATTTTTCTACTGTATTCTCCGAGGTGATATGTTGTTATTGCAGATCTAGTGACAGCCAGGATGCCAAGAGTGTGTGTTTGAACATTTGCTTAAAATAAATACATAAATAAGATTTATAGAGCACCTCCCATCAGCCACGGCTCTGCAGCACTCACGCACACGCAGCATGACAGTTTAGTAAAGAAAACCTAGCCAACTGAAACAGTAGAGGGAACTTAGGTCAGCAGAGTATAATTACCTGAGCTGGAATATGGCTAGGACACTACGGTTAACACTTGTAAATCCTACGAGAAGTGCCATGTGGTCTTTAATGACCTCCTGTGGTTTTGTATTTCATCAGCAAGACAGCACCTCTGGCAGAAAAGAGCCTGGTAGCAGCGCACCGGGCCACTGCTTCTGCCCCATGCTGGAAGCCCTACAAGTCCTGTGGAGGTCTTGCACCCAGTGTTGGTGTGGCTTCACCTGCTTAGTTTTAGGGAGAGCTGCGAGTATTACAGCAAGATGTGCTACAGCTGAAGGGCTTGCTAGACTTGGGGCTTGACACAGAATCATACAAAGTTAGGGTTAGAAGGGACTCAGAAAGTCACATCTTATTCAACCCTCTGCCCAAAGCAGGACCAGCCCCAGCTAGATCATCCCAGCCAAGGCTTTGTGTAGCCAGGATTTTAAAACCTCCAAGGCTGGAGCTCCCACCACCTCTCTGGGTAACCTGTTCCAGTGTTTTTACTACCCTCATGGGAAAATTCTTCCTAATATCTAACCTAAACTTCTCTTGCTGCAACTTGAGACAATCGTTCCTTCTTCTGTCATCTGTCATCACTGAAAGCAGCCCAGCTCCAACCTCTTTCAAACCCCGCTTCAGGTAGTTGAAGGCTCCTATTTAATACCCTCTCAGGCTCCTCTTCTCTAGACTAATTAAGCCCAGTTCCCTCAGTCTTTCCTCCGAAGTCATGTCCCCCAGGCCTTTCACCATTTTTGTTGCCCTCCACTAAACTCTCTTCAATTTGTCCACATCCTTTCTGTAGGGGGGGCCCCAAACTGAACACAGTACTCCAGATGTGGCCTCACCAGGGCTGAATCGAGGGGAATAATTGCTTCCGTAGACCTACTAGCAACACTTCTACCAATGGAGCCTAGTATGCTGTTAGCCTTCTTGGCAACAAGGGCACACCACTGTTGGCTCATATTCAGTTTATTGTCGACTGTAACCCCCAGGTCCTTTACTGCAGAGCTGGTGCCCAGCCAGTCAGCCCCAGCCTGACCTGGTGCATGGGATTGTTCTGTCCTAAATGCAGGACTTTGCACTTGTCCTTGCTGAACCTCATAAGATGCCTTTTGGCCCAGTCCTCCAATCTGTCTAGGTCACTCTGAATCCTAACCCTATTCTTCAGCATATCTACAACTCCCCACTAGCTTGGTGTCATTTGCAGATACTGTTCAAACAAGAGGACATGATCCTTAATATCTTATGCAATTTTGATGGGTGTGTGCACGCACTATTCCAAATGAGCATAATGATCCAAACGTCCATAGTCTGCCCCACCTTCTGGGCTGAAAGAAATGCAGTCTCCAGATATGAAGGCTGAACGCCAAGGGTGAAGAAAGCAAAGAGAGCAAAGCACTTACAAATGGATGATGATGACTTGTTTTTTTGCACCCCAGATAAGTCTGAATTGCACCCAAAGGGTTTGATGAGGGCGGGGGGAAGAAAGAAAAGACACAATCCAATGCTGGCCATGCAACTGAGAGTTTGATTAGATTCCCCTGCTTGGGATTTTGAGGCGTACCATGTGGAAGAAGAGAAACATACATTATTAAAGTGCTGAGCTACAAGTTCTACTGAGCCTCATTAATTGCATGTCAGGGAAATGCCAAAACCTTAAAAATATTGTATTTGTCTTCCAAAATGTAAACAGTGCCATAGAACTGGCCCGGTTTTAAAATCACGGAAATAGTCGTATATCAGCAGCTGGGTGGACAAAGCAACATGCTGTCCTTCCCGGAATAAAATCCTGCTGCCACACGCCCGCCCTGACCTTCTTTAGCTCTTCACGTCTCATGGGTCCGTCGTTCCCTTTTAACTGGAAGAAGACTTGCAAGCCTCCCCCTCCCACACATGCTCCCACAGGATCCATATTTACGGCACGTCTCTGAACTCACCATGGAATTCATAGCAAAGTGATTATGCTGTGTCTGTAAGTCGAGGGCGTGTTGGTAGCTCACTCCGATCTCTGTGTGACTCTGCAGGAACAACTCCTTGTTGTGGCTGATCCAGTCGAACATCTGTAGGACAAAGACAGACAGACAGAGTCAGGGAGGAAAAGAGTAGGGACAAGTGAAAAGCACAAGCAGACACAGTCCTGACCCAAATTTATACAAATGAGCAAAAGCAGATTCAGCAGCACCATAAAAAGAAGTCCCTCATCTACAAAAAGTGTAGTCAAACAATGGCAATATTGAATTTTTTTTACCCTATTCTACTATAACAGAATAATAGGTCTGAGAACACATGTTGTAAGCCTATTTCTCTGTAAATGGATCCCATGACGCTTGCTGTGCTGTATTTGGATTTCTGCATGTAGGGAGTCTGCAGCTGGAGAGCCTAAATGAGAGACTGCTCCACTGACTGACAAAGGAGTGGTTCAAAACCTGACCAGAAGCAG